CTTCTCCCCAACAGCAAACCTTTACTTCAGCCAGTCTTTTTCCTAGTCTTTGTCTTGTCCTCTGCATCCTCACTTCCCCTTCATACAGTCATAGCCATGGGTGCATAGTGAAGGAAACTAGAGATGAACATGAGGGACAGACTACCTGCTCTTCATCATAGAGAGCAACCAGTACTAGGAAAGCCCATGTGGAGGAATAGTCTCAGCTGCTTTCTCAGATGGTACACGTTTATAAATTTGAGTGTCATTTCATGGGAAGATGAGATATTAATCTTTGACACAATCTGTCATTGTCCCTTCCAGAGTTCGAGTCCCTCTTCCATTGCATGTTAAGGAAGGGCACCCAGATTTTTGGGAGGCATATGGTGCTTTCCTCTGGGTGCATTCTTGACAAAGCTGAGCAATTCTGGCTGGAGTTTGTCACATACACACACAGAAGTCACTCACACACCTAGTGTGTATAATTTTATACTGCCTTATTTGACAAAATTTTAACTGAAAAGAGTGTGTCACCAGCAACTTTGGTAATAGGATTGCCAGCCCATCTCTAGTACACTTTTAAATGCTTTAGTGATATCTTTATAAAATAGGGTTACCACCCAGTAAATAAGGTAAACATATGATTGTGTAAATGTCAATTATGCATTAATCCCTCTTTAATTTATAAGTTTATTTCCTGTATTTTCTCCTTTTTTATAATGATTGAAATTAATGGGGCTGTTTTCGAGTTTGTTCATGTGTGTAGGAATTGATATGTAACGTAAAAATCACATTACAAAGCATTATATCTTCTGCTATGCAGATTGCCATATTGCTTATAGTACTGACTAAGCCTTTGCATTGTAAACAAGTGTCTTTATATTTGCCCTTAGTTGCAACTTTTAGTACTGTTCAGGTCCAGAAATGCAGTCTCTGGTATCTGGTAATTTGTACAGCATTACATAAAATGCTGTGAATTGCAATTTTACTTTTTCATAAAACAAGCACTTTTTCTAGCTTAACCAGCCTTTTTTCTGGCTGACATTAGAGTTTTTGCTGCATCTTTCAAACATATATATTTAATACAGATATATATGGGTAATGTTAAATACTTTCTTTATATATGTGCATCTCAGTATATTTATATAACAATATATGCATATTATGTATTTAACATGCATAATATATCTGTGCATATAAGTGGTACATATATGTATGTTAACTATAGCAGTACAAGTTTAGCTGTTTGAATAGTACAAAGCAGATTTCTCTTCCCTGTTTT